ATATATTTAGGATAGTTAGCTCTTCCTGTTGAATTGATCCCTTTACCATTATGTAATGGCCTTCTTTGTCTCTTTTGATCTTTGATGGTTTAAAGTCTGTTTTATCAGAGACTAGTATTGCAACCCCCGCTTTTTTGTGTTCTCCATTTGCTTGGTAAATCTTCCTCCATCCCTTTATTTTGAGCCTATGTATGTCTCTGCGTGTGAGATGGGTCTCCTGAATACAGCAGACTGATGGGTCTTGACTCTTTATCCAGTTTGCCAGTCTGTGTCTTTTAATTGGAGCATTTAGTCCATTTACATTTAAGGTTAAGATTGTTATGTGTGAACTTGATCCTGCCATTATGATATTAACTGGTTATTTTGCTCGTTAGTTGATGCAGTTTCTTCCTAGCCTTGATGGTCTTTACATTTTGGCATGTTTTTGCAATGGCTGGTACCGGTTGTTCCTTTCCATGTTTAGTGCTTCCTTCAGGGTCTCTTGTAAGGCAGGCCTAGTGGTGACAAAATCTCTAAGCATTTGCTTATCTGTAAAGGATTTTATTTCTCCTTCACTTATGAAACTTAGTTTGGCTGGATATAAAATTCTGGGTTTAAAATTCTTTTCTTTAAGAATGTTGAATATTGGCCCCCACTCTCTTCTGGCTTGAAGAGTTTCTGCCGAGAGATCTGCTGTTAGTCTGATGGGCTTCCCTTTGTGGGTAACCCGACCTTTCTCTCTGGCTGCCCTTAAGATTTTTTCCTTCATTTCAACTTTGGTGAATCTGGCAATTATGTATCTTGGAGTTGCTCTTCTTGAGGAGTATCTTTGTGGCGTTCTCTGTATTTCCTGGATCTGAATGTTGGCCTGCCCTACTAGGTTGGGGAAGTTCTCCTGGATGATATCCTGAAGAGTGTTTTCCAACTTGGTTCCATTTTCCCCCTCACTTTCAGGCACCCCAATCAGACGTAGATTTGGTCTTTTTACATAATCCCATACTTGCAGGTTTTGTTCATTTCTTTTTCTTCTTTTTTCTTTTGGTTTCTCTTCTCGCTTCATTTCATTCATTTGATCCTCAATCGCTGACATTCTTTCTTCCAGTTGATCGAGTCGGTTACTGAAGCTTGTGCATTTGTCATGTATTTCTCGTGTCATGGTTTTCGTCTCTTTCATTTTGTTTATGAGCTTCTCTGCATTAATTACTCTAGCCATCAATTCTTCCACTTTTTTTTCAAGATTTTTAGTTTCTTTGCGCTGGGTACGTAATTCCTCCTTTAGCTCTGAGAAATTTGATGGACTGAAGCCTTCTTCTCTCATCTCGTCGAAGTCATTCTCCGTCCAGCTTTGATCCGTTGCTGGCGATGAGCTGCGCTCCTTTGCCGGGGGAGATGCGCTCTTATTTTTTGAATTTCCAGCTTTTCTGCCCTGCTTTTTCCCCATCTTTGTGGTTTTATCTGCCTCTGGTCTTTGATGATGGTGATGTACTGATGGGGTTTTGGTGTAGGTGTCCTTCCTGTTTGATAGTTTTCCTTCTAACAGTCAGGACCCTCAGCTGTAGGTCTGTTGGAGATTGCTTGAGGTCCACTCCAGACCCTGTTTGCCTGGGTATCAGCAGCAGAGGCTGCAGAAGATAGAATATTTCTGAACAGCGAGTGTACCTGTCTGATTCTTGCTTTGGAAGCTTCCTCTCAGGGGTGTACTCCACCCTGTGAGGTGTGGGGTGTCAGACTGCCCCTAGTGGGGGATGTCTCCCAGTTAGGCTACTCAGGGGTCAGGGACCCACTTGAGCAGGGAGTCTGTCCCTTCTCAGATCTCAGCCTCCGTGTTGGGAGATCCACTGCTCTCTTCAAAGCTGTCAGACAGAGTCGTTTGCGTCTGCAGAGCTTTCTGTTGTTATTGTTTACTGTGCCCTGTCCCCAGAGGTGGAGTCTACAGAGACAGGCAGGTTTCCTTGAGCTGCTGTGAGCTCCACCCAGTTCGAGCTTCCCAGCAGCTTTGTTTACCTACTTAAGCCTCAGCAATGGCGGGCGCCCCTCCCCCAGCCTGGCTGCTGCCTTGCCGGTAGATCACAGACTGCTGTGCTAGCAATGAGGGAGGCTCCGTGGGTGTGGGACCCTCCCGGCCAGGTGTGGGATATGATCTCCTGGTGTGCCTGTTTGCTTAAAGCACAGTATTGGGGTGGGAGTTACCCGATTTTCCAGGTGTTGTGTGTCTCAGTTCCCCTGGCTAGGAAAAGGGATTCCCTTCCCCCTTGCGCTTTCCAGGTGAGGCAATGCCTCGCCCTGCTTCAGCTCTCGCTGGTCGGGCTGCAGCAGCTGACCAGCACCGATCGTCTGGCACTCCCCAGTGAGATGAACCCAGTACCTCAGTTGAAAATGCAGAAATCACCGTTCTTCTGTGTCGCTCGCGCTGGGAGTTGGAGACTGGAGCTGTTCCTATTCGGCCATCTTGCTCCGCCCCCTCTTTTTTTTTTCTTTTGAGATGGAGTCTTGCTCTGTCGCCCAGGCTGGAGTGCAGTGGTGTGATCTCTGCTCACTGCATCCCGGGTTCAAGCAATTCTTCTGCTGTAGCCTCTCGAATAGTTGGGATTACGGGCATCTGCCACCGCGCCTGGGTAATTTTTATATTTTTGATACAAACAGAGTTTCACCATGTTGGCCAGGCTGGTCTCGAACTCCCAACCTCAGGTGATCTGCCTGCCTCGGCCTCCCATAGTGCTGGGATTACAGGTGTGAGACACTGCACCTGGTCTGAAGTATTCTTCAATATATGATAAATCCATATACATCCAGACCAGGCGTGGTGGATCACCTGGGGCAGGTGGATCACCTGAAGTCAGGAGTTCAAGCCCAGCCTGGCCAACATGGGGAAACCTGTCTCTACTAAAAATACAAAAAAAAAAAAAAAAAGCCCTGCATGGTGGCAGGTACCTGTAATCCCAGCTACTTGGGAGGCTAAGGCAGGAGAATTGCTCGAACCGGGGAGGCAGAGGTTGCAGTGAGCCAAGATGGCTCCATTGCACTCCAGCTCTGGGCGAAAGAGTGAGACTGTCTCAAAAACAAACAAACAACAACAACAAAAAACTATTAATACAAAGCCTGGTGCTGCCTCCTTATGCCATTTATGGACTAAAGAGCAGAGCTAGTTCCCGCTTTTCTTCCAGCAGCCATAAAGTAAGGGCTGAGCACTGGAGATTAGAAAATAAAAGATCCCACCCATGTTTCTGCAGAATTTCCAGACCAACAGTATGGTAGGGCAGACTAGGGTGTTAGGCACCAAGAGGATTCAGCTCCATACCCTTAACCTCGGGATAGTAATGTGATGAAATACACAGGTGCACAGGAATGTTTAATAGTTCTTAGTCTCATAGGTTTAGTACTTGGACTCTCTCAAGAGGGTAGAGAATGGCTCTGAAGCCAGAATCAGAGATTTGGTCCTGATGCTGCCGTTTACTAGCTATTTGACCATGAATAAGCTACTCTCTGGTCTCAGTGTTCTTATCTGTAAATGGGATAATTCTAGCACCTATCTCCCAAGGTTGTTGTGAAGATTAAACAAATAAGTAAAATACATACCAAGTACTTGACCAATGCTAGACATTGCTATATATCTAAAAGCTAATCTATTTCAGAAAGAGAAAACAGTCCTATTTCTGCACAGCTGTGGCTCACACCTGTAATCCCAGCACTTTGGGAGGCCGAGGAGGGCAGATCACGAGGTCAGGAGATCAAGACCATCCTGGTCAACATGGTGAAACCCTGTCTCTACTAAAAATACAAAAACTAGCTGGGCATGGTGGCTCATACCTGTAGTCCCAGCTACTTAGGAGGTTGAGGCAGGAGAATCACTCGAACCCAGGAGGCAGAGGGTGCAGTGAGCTGAGATCGCACCATTGCACTCCAGCCTGGGTGACAGAGCGAGACACTGTCAAACACCAAAACAAAAGAGAAAACAGATATAAAAAACAGAGCTTCAGAACTCTCACTCTTTCTCCTCTCTCCAAGCCCCCTGAGGCTATGAATTAAAATAACAGACATGATCTTTGTCTCTGAGATTCTACAGAGGAGTTTTCCTAAGCAATGCTGTCTACTGCAATGCAAATTTTCTTGAACTATTCATTTTATCTCAAAATCATTTCTGAATCCCACAGTCATTAATTTCAAATCCAGACTTGCCTTTGGATGTAATTCTATGTAGCACTTTCTTTGATTTACAAAAGTTCAGGGGCCCACCATGACGGTGCTGGTGGTCTCTGAAAAGATCCAGCCAAGCACTCGGTCTGCGGTGCGGGAACTCCCCTCTGCTGCTGCATAAATGACTTGCAGTGGAGTTTCTGGGCTAAAAGCACAGCAGTTTCCCTGCTGTGTAGGCATGATACAGGATTCCCGAACAGGAGGCTGTCGTGGGATCCTGAGCAAGCCCTCACTTGTCTGGAGCTCAGTTTCATCAGCTCTAAAACAAAGGGACTGAATTAAATGTCCTATTTTGTCCTTTCCAATTAAAAAGACTCTAAATATATAAGAACCCTGTCTCAGGAAGCTGAGCTCTTTTTTGTACTGTGCTGAAACCGCTCCCCCCGCCCACCCCAACCTCACCACCACACACTCAAGCACACAGAACCCATGAAATAACAGCTCCCACTTACTGAGTGCAAAGTGCCAAGGGCTTTATATACATCATTGCACTTAATCTTCACAATACATCTGTGAGGTTGCTACTAATTTTTCAGATGCCCAGAGAAGTCAAACTGAAGGCCAAAGTGGGAGCCTTGCTTCTTCTTCGTTAGACAGGAACCTGGTCTGGATTTCTTGTATTTGTTTGTTAGAGATAGGGTCTCGTTCTGTCACCCAGGCTGGAGTGCTCACTGCAGCCTCGATTTCCTGAGCTCAAGCGATCCCCTTGCCTCAGCTTCCTGAGTACTGTAACTACAGGCCTGCACCACCTGCCCTGCTAATTTTTACTTTTTGTAGAGACAGAGTCTTGCTTTGTTGTCCAGGCTGGTCTTGAATTCCTGGGCTCAAGCAACCCTCCCACCTTGGCCCCTAAAAGTGCTAGGATTACAGGCAGAAGCCACAGCACTGGGCCCTAGCCTAGATTATTAAAGTATCTTCTGGCTCTATAACACCCTGTAAATGTAGCTTCATGGTCTTCTCCAGTCTTCCAAGTCCGCTACACCAGGGGTGGGGGTCCAGGAACATGGGATTCTTCCTGACGTACAAGATGTGCAGTGGCACCAGATTCTACTTTTTGAATATGTTTTCTTTCAGCCATGCTGGTTTTATTAATATAAAGCAGCACCCAAAAAGTTCTCCTGGAGCCTTTAAGAGCCTCCAGGACAAACAGAGCTTCTGTACACTTGATTCCAAACCTCCTCCTTGCTCTCAAAATGTGATACCCCTCCAGAGTTTCTCTCAGGAGAGAGACTGAGTGGAGTTCCCCTCCTGTGGGTTTTTGGCTTGCATCAGGCCACTGAGCAAGGCTGAACAAGAGCAGAGTGATGTGACCTCACTTTCAGGTCTGGTTTCAAAGCACATATTAAAGTTTCTGATTCTACCACAGCCACACATTTTCTCAGTCTTCATCTTCCATCCCTGCCTTAAGCATTTCAGTCTATCCAGCCAATCTCTCTCTCTGTCTTTCTCTCTCTCACTCATACACACACATACATACACTCATTCATCTTATATTTCGTAGTTCAAAATAAACATCAAAATTAAGGCTGTTCCTGTGACAAGAAAGTATATACAAAGAAGTGAGAGGCTGATTTTGTAAAACCGCCTGCATTCAGGGCTCTTTGGAACCATCCTCCTCTTTACAGGGCTGAGGGCTGCAATAAATAGAGCTCATCAGAGACTCAGACATACTCAGAATAAGAAGTGCACACATTTAATAGAGCAGCTGTGTTGGTCTGCGTTCCTGGAGGGGTGTGGGAGGAGACTGGCATTCATTCACTGCTCTGGAAAGGCTGTGCCAACAGCACCAAAAGGAGCAAGGAAGTTCCCAGTGCCATGGGCGGCACCCACCAGGCATGAGGTCCACTTACTGAACCAGTCTCCTTGCTCACCCACCGGCCACGGCCACCAATGTGCTGGCCACCAACACCGTGCCCACCTGTGGGGTCTCCAGCCTCTTGGAGGTGAGGTGGGGCTGTGTGGGGGATTCCTCAAAACGCTCCTATCAGAACATCCAGGAGTGACTCAATCTGGTGGGAGTCTTTGAAGTGGGAGGGGCAGGACCCATCCTCGGCAACCTGCAGCTCCTCAGGGAGAAGGACACCAAGACTTCGAGGCCATTGGAGGCCATCTCCCCACAGGAAGGAAGAGCCCAGGCCTCCATGTCCTTAAGGAAAAAAATCCTGCCATCTGGGAAAGGGAGGCACCACTTTACTTCCCATTGGGCCTTCACTTCCTGTAGGGCCTCTGGATGGTATTTAGCAAACAGAAATACAGAACACTCAGTTACATCTGAATTTCAGATAATGGGCAAATCCTGTTTCTATGTAAATATGTCCCACATACTGCCTGGGGTAGATTTAAGACTAAAACATTATTTGTTATTTATCTGAAATTTAAATATAACTAGGCATCTTGTTTTTATCTAGCAATTCTCCCTTCCTTACGGTCTTTCCTCTGGCCAGGCCTTCCCAGGTGAGAGTTTATTCTGTGTGCTCTCAAGCAGAAATTTGTTCAGTTCAGATTCTCCTGGGATTCCTGGTGAAAAGGCAAAGATCTCAGGCCACATCTGTTGGATAGTATCTCTGGGGGTGCGGCCCAGAATACACATTTTATTAAGTTGTTATCTAAGTGGTTCTGATATATATTTGTATTAGTTATCTACTGCTTCTGAACAACTTACCCTAAAAAGGCTGAAAACCAGCAATATTTATCATCTTGTAGTTTATATGGGTGAGGACTTTGGGACTGACTTGGCCTGATGATCCTGGCTCGTGGTCTTTCATGGCGCTGCAGTCAAGATGTTTGTCATCTCAAGCCTTCGCTGGTGGGCCTCAGCAGACCTCGGGGCCCGGAAACATCAGCTCCTCACCACAAGGACCTGTCTATACGTCTGCTCACAGCACAGCATCTGGCCTTTCCCAGGGTTAGAAATGAGATGGAGGCAGGGAGAAAGGGAAGGGGAGAGAGGGAGAGAAAGAGAGAAGTGAGGGGTGGAGGTGAAGCACAAACACAAAAGTGAGCCCTGAAGACAAATGTACTCAAGGGAAGAGGGAAGAGAATTACCCAAGAGCATGAATGGCAAGAGGTGGGAATCCTGGGGGCTGTCTTAGAGGCTCCCCACCACCATGTTCAGGTTTGGGAATTCCTGCTATAGATGGGTCCTCGACGCACCGGAGCCAAGACCACACTGTAAACAATGGGGTCCAGTGAATTTCTCTCCCTTATTTTTCCTTGCTTCCACTCCTTCTCCCTGTCCCCTTTTTGGTGATCTGAGACAATAACAATGAGGAACTATAAAGAAGTGAAGAAGGAAAAGAAATCAAAATGGCAATCTTGGGAGACTAAGAGTAAATTTTAAAATGCTGGCAAATACTGTTTGGGTAGAATGAAACCACATGTAAATCCCATGCATATATACCTGTGTCCTAAAATGTCTTAGCATTCAGTGTGGGTCTTGCAGAATCTCCTATGAGTACTAATGAAAACACAGAAGTAGGGTGACCAATTGTCTTAGTTTGACCAGGACTCTCGCGTGTCTGGGCAGAACAATATGTTTGGTTGCCTTCATAACAAGGAGCCAATAAGTCATTGCATCAGCCACTCTGCCCCCATCTAGAGACTGAGTGGGTTGGCCTCGTGATGGAGTGGAGAGGACACGGGCTTTGAGCTACAGGCCCAGTGTGTGCCTTTAGCTGTGGCCCTAAGCTATCTCATCTAGAAAACAGGAACCATGCATCTGCTTGGTAGAGCGTAAATGATACACAGGGGAGCGCCTTGTAAATGGAGAGGTGTCATCTCGATTTTAAAAAGAGCCCCTCCTGTCAAGGAAGGTGAGATCAAAAATATCATCCCTTTTCACTTTTGCGACCAAGTCTGACATTTTCTCTTTTACATAGTTTGACCATGCTGACCTCCTGGAGAGGTGAACACAGCCCACAAAAGCCATATTACACTCGTTTAATTTTCATCTTAATTTGCCACTTAATCCCAAATTGATTTAGACTATTCCCTCCAGAAAATGCTCATCTCCCCAAAAGAACAGTCATCTTTATTATATCCTCAGTGACAAGTTTCCCAGGAAATCTGTACCAAGTCCTGATGTAACAGATGTGATTCATCTCTCACAGCTCTGGCGGTGTGACTCGCTCCTCCGAGGCAGAAAACTGTCCCCAGCGGCACTCTTTCCCTTGCCCTCCTCCACTGCCATTCCTCAAGGTTGGGGAGTTTTTTTGTCGTTATTCGCGAAAAAGACAGTAATATTTAAATTCTGTTAAAGTGCTCCTCCCCTCTCTTTTTTTTTCTTCTGTGTTGTCTCATTCTGCGGAGTAAATGTGCAGGCCTGCACATTTCTATGACCCAAAATGGCAATACCATTTTGGATGAACTTCTCTATTTTTCTTTGAGATGGGCCAATTGCAAGAATGGCCATAATTCTCTTCTATAATGATTCTGTCCATCATTCTTCTCCACCCACCCTTGGACTCTAAGGCACCCAACAAAGACCTTGGACTAATGATGCAGAGGAAAGATGATCTCAGTCTGTTCTGTTCCCTGCCACTTTGCAGCTGTATGACCTTGGACCCCTCTTGGTCTCAATGGGGAGAAAGAGATCTGGCTGTCTTATGGCAGCAGGCGGTTGTAAGAATGAAATAAACAAGATTAATATCAATGAAAGTCCTTTCAAAACCTTAGAGTGCCATATAAATAAAAGGTGGTTAGTTTATTCATTAGAGTCCAGAGTCCTTCCATTGCCACACTTCAGATATCTGGCCAGCTGAGTATTCCATTACAATTATTACTTGCATTGGTTACTGGGTGAGAATTTCTGCTTACTGGCCTTGGCAGGTTTACCTAATAATTTAATTAAGTTATTTAAATTTAAATTACTGGAGGTAATTTTAAAACTTTCACAAATCTGCTGCCTCATGCTTTTTGTTTTATAGTTTTAACACTTAAGAGGCTAATTTTTGGCTGGTCTGAGTGCAGTGGTGTTTACAACTAATTGATCACAACCAGTTACAGATTTCTTTATTCCTTCTCCACTCCCACTGCTTCACTTGACTGGCCTTAAAAAAAAAAAAAAAAAAAAAAAAAAAGGCTAAATTTTGCCCCTGCACTTTGGGCACACCACCAAGACCAGTTTACAAAGCATGTCCTTTCCCTGACGTTCAAGATGGTGCGATTTCAGTTTTCACAGAATTTAATTTTTAGTTCTATACCATTTCTATACAGATATGGAATGTTTTTAAAACCTACTTTTGCAATCAGCAGTTCTACCTCAATAAAATTGACTTTAAAAAAATGAGCTAGGCTTAGCTGATGTTAAACAAGTACCATAATTAAAGAGAAGATTATAAACACAGCTTCCCTCCCTGGTTCCTTTAGTTGCATGCAAGCTTGTAGTTAATATGAAAGTAAAACATTACCACCATATCAAAAGAAATGAGGAAAGAAAAAAAACAAAGGTTCACCTACCAGCCTGATATCACAAGTGGACTGACTGAAAATGAAACAAAGTGAATTGCTTCATTAACAGCATTCTTCTTCTGAAAGAAAAAGGATGGGAGGGTTGGGTTCAAACACTCAACGTTATCCTACAGCACTTTTTCATCTTTCCAGGGCATGTGGTGAGTGGGAGTTAAGGTCAGTACCTTGCATAAGATCTCTCTGCCAGCTCTTGATGGAGCCGGGCAAAGATATTGTGATGGTTAATTGTACATGTCAATTTGACTGGGTCAGAGTGCCCAGCTATTTGGTCAAACATGATTGTGGGTGTTCCAGGTGAGGGTGTTTTTAGATGACATTGACATTTAAATTGGTTGACTTTCAGTAAAGCAGATGGCCCTCCATTACGTCTGGTAAGCCTCACCAATCATCTGAAGGCCTGAATGGAACAGAAGCCTAGCCTCTCCTGAGCAAGGAGTCTGCTAGCAAACAGCCTTCAGACCCCAGCTGCAACATTAGCTCTTTACTGGGTCTTCAGCTGCTGGCCCACCCTGTAAATTTGGGACTGACCAGCCTCCACCACATGAGCCAATTCCTTAAAATCAATTTCTCTCTCTCTATACACATCCTATTGTTTCTGTTTCTTTGGAGAACCCTGACTAGCAGAGATGTAAAGCAAGAAGAACTTTACACAACAGGATAAGAGTCTGAGCCATTTCCCTCCTCCACAGTAAATTCATACACACACAGACATGACTTTTAAGCTGAGATAGGAGCTTTGACTATTTCAAGGACATTGACTAGTGCAGTGGCTGTCAGAAGTTTGCAGCTCTGCCCCGCTGGGAGCCAAAAGGCTGGGTTGAGTCCCCTTCCCACCACTTACTGGCTGGGGGGCCCCAACTGAGTCACTTAACTTCTCTCAGCCTCGGTTTCCTCATCTGACAAAACAGAAAGCTCTTTGTAAATACTGCTATAGAGTGTCTGATATTACTTGTACTTACCATATTTCTTAAAGCAATAGTAATAGCTAACATTAGAGGACTTTATATGTGCCAGGCCTTGTGCCCAGAAGATATATTATCTCATTTAATCGGTTCAACAACCCTATGAGGTGCATAGTACCATGTCTCTGCTTTACAAATGAAGAAACTGAGGTAGAGAGAAGTTGAGCTGCCTGCCAAGGTCACACAGCCGGGATGCAGCAGGGCTGGGATCTACACCTGCTCTATCAGAACTAGGGAGCGTTCTCCCTAATGATTAGTGCTGTAACTGCAGACCGTTATTTAACCACTTTAAGTTCTGATATTCTTGTATGTGCCATGGAATACCTACCTATCTCCTAGGCCTGTTGTGAGAATTCAGGGAATGACATTTGGGAGTGACGTCTAGCACACTGCGTGGTGTGCACTCAAAGAGTGTGAGAGGAATTTCTATTATAGGCACTTGTTATGTGCTGAATGTTTGTGGTCTCCCCAAATTCCATGTTGAAATCCTAACCTCCAATATGCTGGTAGTAGGAGGCAGGGCCTTTGGGAGGTGACTGGGTTATGACGGTGGCAGGTTTATGAGGATGGTATTAGAAGGCAGGGCCTTTGGGAGGTGACTGGATGATGAGGGTGGCAGGCTCATGAATGGTATTAGGGTCCTTATAAAAAGACACAAGAGCTTGCTCTCTCTTTTTTCTCTGCCAAGTGAGAACATAGCAAGAAGACACCCACCTGCAAACCAGGAATAGGGACCGCACTAGACACCAGATGCAGGCACCTTGATCTCGGACTTTCCAGCCTCGAGAACTGTGAAAAGTTAAATAACAAAATTTCTGTTGTCTAAGCCAGCGGTCCCCAACCTTTTTGACACCAGGGACTCGTTTTGTGGAGGACAATTTGTCCACGGGCCAGTATTGGGAGGCATTAAAGTCTCATAAGGTGCACACAACCTCAATCCCTCACATGACAGTTCACAGTAGGGTTTGTGCTTCTGTGAGAATCTGATGCCACTGCTGATCTGGCAGGAGGCGGGGCTCACTGAAGTGCTGCTCACCTCCTGCTCGGCACCCCAGGTCTTAACAGGCCATGGACCAGTAGCAGTTCATGGCCCAAGGACTGGGGACCCCTGGTCTAAGCCACCCAGTCTGCAGTATATGTGTTATAGTTGCCTGGGTTAAGACAATGTCCCATGTCCCAAAACACCAGTCCCTTCACAGGGGATAGTTTAATCCCATGTGCTAACAGGGGACAGAGCCAGGGTTGCTGGAAATTAATGACTACTCTGCCATAGTTAACAAAACCTTGTTTTAAGAAATATTTTTCATGAAAAGAGTAGATGAATTTGAATAAATGTTTAATGTTGTCTTTTGTTAAGTAAATATCTTCTTCTTGAATTTATTTATGATTAGTTTATTTATAGAGTCTAAACTACTCTATAACCCAGTTTTTGACATATCAAACAATCCTTAAAATGCTGATGAAATATATTTCATACTTTAATTTTTATATTTTATTATTTATTTATTTTTTTTTTTGAGACAGAGTCTCTCTCTGTGGCCCCGGCTGGAGTTCAGTGGTGTGATCTTGGCTCACTGTAACCTTTGCCTCCTGGGTTCAAGAGATTCTCATGCCTCAGCCTCCTGAGTAGTTGGGTTACAGGCATATGCCACCACACCCAGGTAATATCTCATACTTTTTAAAATGTAGCTATAAGATTATTGTATTAGTTTGTTGGGGCTGCCATAACAAAGTGTCACGGACTATGCGAACCAAAATCTAACTGCGCCTCTCCCATCTTCTAAGAATATCACACTGGTACTTGAGAGAGGAAAGCACCAAAGCCAGGAGCACCTACTGAACCAGTAACAGCAAGTAGTCACGTAGCTGGCAAAGTACACCATGAGGGAAGGAGAGAGGACTTCAGAACTTGGGGAAGGCCCGATTCAGGATCCTGATACATGGGGTGTGAGTGGGAGAGGAAAGAAAAGATGGCCCACAGATAATTCCTATTTCCCCAGCTTTGCTCTCCTTTCCCCTCCTTTTCCCTTGATCTCCCCCAGTCAGGCCACATGGCCATTTCTGAGTCACATATGCCACCCCCAATCATCCCAGCAATGGATCCTTGTCAACTCCGGCACGTTAATGTTGGGGCTTATGTCCCCTCCTTCATTCAACAGTGAAAACCTGAGGACATTACGGTGAGTCACTTTCTCTTTCACATCTGTGTCCAAATTTAGCCACATCTCCTTCTGTTCTCCTTTCCCTCCCCACCTTCACTTCCCTCCCTCTTCCATTAGTCTTGCTGAAGAGGTGACTCTTTTTTTCTGGAATCAATCTGCCTGTGCTCAGGTTCCCATTTCTTTCCTCCAGGCTCTTCCACCCTTCGCTCCATCAATTATCCACCGCCTAGTCACCTCCATTTATCTTCAACCACAACCTCCCCTCCCTGTGCACTTCTACAAGCCTCTCAACCCAGCCTCTCTCCTCTTACCTACCAAACTTTATGAAATAAGCTACTACTCTTTCTCCACTCTTTTGCCCCACTCTCCATTCATGTCTACTCATTTTTGTATTCTCTGTAGAACCTAGAATTCACATTGTAGGTGCTCAAGGAAAGACAGATGGATTAATTATGGAACTGGATAATCAAATATTCCTGAGCAATAAGTGTGAGGATGGTGCAAGATGCAAAGAAGATGCCATTCTTGTCTTCAAGGATGCGGCTGTGGAATTTGTGAGTTAAAATAGACACACAAAAAGTCAGTAGATCTACACTGTTAACAAACAGAACAAAGTCTTTAAAATGGAGGCATCTGGAGAGAGGCCCCCAGGACTGGAGTAACAGCTTCTTGTCCCCCTAGTGCCTATGTGAGTGCAGCTAAAGTCATAGGTAAATCTGAATAAGGTTCAAGGACCGACCCCTGGGCCACAATTGGGACTTACATAAAATGAATGCCCGTGGTCAGTATCTGGGATCCTCCCTTGTTGAAGATGGACAGCATCCCTGGAGGGAGGAAGCATCCATGGGCAAATGGTTCGATGCCATGGACAGCTCAGAGCAGTGTGAATCAGTGTGGGGTACCCAGGGATTCCTGAGTATCTGAGTGATGGAAGCCGGAACCTGTTCCTGGCTTTCCCTGGCTGTGCGCCCCATCTCTCCAGCTATAAAATGAGAGGTGATGCTCTGAAGACATGAAGTGTGAGCAGCAATCTCTGGGTGATTTTCCACATTCTCTGCCCACGTCTTCCGTAACCTTCAGGGCTGCACCCCTCCAGGCAGCAGCAGCACTTCCCCCTCTGAGCAGCGTTGGTAGCTGAGAGGAAACACTGGTGGCTGTGACTGCTGAGCCTTCCCCTGAAGTTCAGGCTTGGAGGGAGCCCTGTCCCAGGGGCCAGGCTTTGTGAGACCTTGGCACCCTGGAAGCGCAAGGTCCCAGTGCTGCCTGATCCTCCACAGCAGAGGTTCTCACGGGCTGGGCTGCTTTCAATCAGGTCCTGGAGCTCCCACAGACCAAAATAGCATTTACAGCCAGCCTGGGAAGATCTACAACCCTAAATTCTTTTAGGAACAATGAAATCAGAGTTTTGAGCTGAGGAGTTGTTTCATTTGATAGGTTGAAGGAATGAAAGGAAACACATTTGCAAAACCAGGTCACTCCACTATACTCCAGTAAGAAGAGTAATAATAATTGGTATCAAATACTTGGCATGTCCCAGGTTCTGTCCTGTAGTAGCCACTCCCTTCGGGAACTTGCTCCTCTATATAACGATGGGCAGCTGGTGCCCAGAGCACCTGCCGCATGGCCTGGCCGGCCACATGCAGATAAGGAGAGATGATGACTCCTTGTTTTGGGTCACCTTCTGTGAAGAGAAAGCAGGAGGGGAGAAGATTGATAAGATCTGGTCCAGGATCAGATAGGGCCTGAAAGGAAGCCAGCCTGGGAGACCGAGGGGAGCGGATTCAGAGTCTATCTCCACCCCGTGCCATGCAGCGGGGGCTGAGAACCCTGCTCATGCAGAGATGCAGTAGATCTGCAGACAGCTGCTGGAAGCAAAGGTAGCTGAAAGTCCAGGAGCCCCATTTATTCTTTTCAAATGTGGTACACTGCTGACAAGGGGAAAGAAGAAATCAAGTCGTTTGTCAACTGTGAGAAATACCCGCAGGAACTCACATTTCCATCCAGATTTCAAGTTGACATTTGGCTCTGACATCTATCTTACTGTTGGAGTAGGCTTACTTAGGCTCTCACCCTAAGACCTCCACGGGTGAACATAACAAATGTCACCACCAGGCCAGGCGTGGTGGCTCATGCATGTAATCCCGGCACTTTGGGAGGCCGAGGCAGGTGAATCACTTAAGGTCAGGGGGTTTAGACCAGCCTGGCCAACATGGCAAAACCCCAACTGTACTAAAAATACAAAAATCAGTCAGGTGTGGTGCCGTGCACCTGTAATCCCAGCTACTCGGGAGGCTGAGGCACAAGAAACGCTTGAATCCAGAAGGCAGAGGTGGCAGTGAGCCGAGATCATGCCACTGCACTCCAGCCTGGGTGACAGGGGGGAAACTCTGTCTCAAAATAAATAAAAAAAATTTAAAAACCCAAATGTCACCACCACCACTATCATCATCCCTGTCTCACAGGTGAAAAAACAAACTCAGACTGAGGGACCTGCCTCAGAACTCACAGCCAGTCAGCAGCAGAGGCAGGAGCGCAGCCTTCTCCCTCTGGCTTCTGTTAGTCCAGAAAGTACCCCCCAAGTGATACTGAGGCAAATCTTCAATCAGAAGAGGGACAGGGTGATCTGAGGGGGTCTGCATGGCCACGCTCCTAATCATAATCAGTGATTGGCATGGATTGTTTGGAAAGATGGTAGCAAAATACTCTGGGGACTCATGGACGAACCAGGGTCAAGGGAAGTGTCCTGTGGTTGGAGAAGAGTTTCTGGGGAGATTCACACTCAAGCTCCTGACCAGGGGCAGCTGAACAGGCAAAACCCGGGCTCTCTCTCTATAGAATCTCACGCTTCTTGCCAGGAACCTCAGGGGAGTGTGAAAAATGAGGAGTTTTGTTTTTTGTTTGTTTTTGTTTTTTTGTTGCAGAATAACAGTCACATTTTTCAAGGCTATCTGGAAAGTTATATCTGTCCTTTGGAGACACTAGTAAAAAAATAAAGTAATAGATTCCCCTCCAGCCTTTTACCAAGAATTACAAACCTACTAACAACCTTCACCCTTTCTCTCTGTCTGTCTCTTCCTCTCTCCCTCTCTCTCTCTCTCTCACACACACACACACACACCCACCCCGCCCCCAACCTCTGCTCCTCTGCTCATATTTCACAGGGCTGGACAGAGATCTTTATCTAACTGCATAGCTCTGAATTGCTAAGTGGCAGAATTAGCTTGGATCCTATGTTATCCCTGATCACATTAACCAGATCAATGAAGCAGAACTTCTATCAGAATTTTTTTTTTTTTTTGAAACGGAGTGTCATTCTGTTGCCCAGGCTGGTGTGCAGTGGCAAGATCTCGTCTCACTGCAACCTCCGCCTCCCAGGTTCAAGCAATTCTCCTGCTTTAACCTACCAAGTGCTGGGATTACAGGCGCACACCACCACACCTGGCTAATTTTTGTGTTTTTAGTGCAGACAGCGTTTCATCATGTTGGCCAGGCTGGTCTTGAACTCTTGACCTCAGGTGATCCACCTGCCTCTCGGTCTTTCAAAGTGCTGGGATTACATGCATGAGCACCATGCCCGGCTGGCACTTCCATCAATTTTTGAGTCTGAAGCCCTCCCATACGCAACCCCAATGTTTAACCTGGTAAGCTGGTTAATTCTCCTACAACTTAGGCCAATCATCTGTCCATCATCAAAGCTGCCTTTAAGATCAACCTAGGACTCTACCATGGGAACGATAAGTGAATGTGGGGCAGGTGTGTGTCCTATACTGGCCTCTCCACTTTCTGCCACCACACATAGGCAGTATCCAAGTGTCAGATTTTCCTGAAGGCTGGGTGACTAAAGGGAAATGCAACAGAAAAGGAAAAAGATGGAAACTTCACTCTGAAAGTGGCTTTCCCCAGAATCCAAGAGAAAAGCAACAAGAAAGCACCTTCAGTTTTAAAACTTTTTTTTTTTTTAAGCTAAGTTTGTGCTCTGTCGCCCAGGTTGGAGTGCAGTGGCGCGATCACAGCTGACTGCTGGCTCATCTCCTGGGCTCAAGTACTCCCCCCATCTCAGCCTCTCCAGTAGCTGGAACTCCAGGTATGTGCCATCACGCCAGGTTAATTTTTTGAAATTTATTTTTAGTAAAGACAAGGTCCGACTACATTATCCAGGCTGGTCTCAAATGATCCTCCTGCCTCGGCCTCCCAGAGTACTGGGATTACAACAAGCATGAGTTACGACACCTGGCCAGTTTTAAAACTTGCTCTGCTGGCCAGGTACAGTGGCTCATGCCTGTAATCTCAGCACTTTGGGAGGCTGAGGCAGGAGAACTGCTTGAGCCCAGGAGTTCAAGACTAGCCTGGGCAAAATAGCAAGACCTTGTTGTTTGTTTGTTTGTTTTAATAAGTTTAAAAAAAGAAAAAAGACCAGGTGCGGTGGCTCACGCCTGTAATCCCAGCAATTTGGGAGGCTGAGGCAGGCAGATCACCTGAGGTCAGGAGTTCCAGACCAGCCTGACCGATATGGAGAAACCCCATCTCTACTAAAAATACAAAATTAGCCAGGTGTGGTGGCACATGCCTGTAATCCCAGCTACTCAGGAGGCCGAGGCAGGAGAATCATTTGAACCCAGGAGGCGGAGGTTGCGGTGAGCGGAGGTTGTTCCATTGCACTCCAACCTGGGCGACAAGAGCAAAAAAAACAAAAAACAAAACAAAACAAAAAACACTTGCTCTCCAGATGGCAAACCACACTGCCCAAGTACCTCTCCTAATACACGTTGTTGCAACTCTCCCTCCACTTCTCAGGAACCCCCACATCATGGGGGTTAGAATCAAGCCCAGAATCTACCTCCTCATGTAAGCTACTCATTTTCTCATCTCTTGAGTTATTTTAACTAAATAATGATCCCTTGATGGGGGGATGGAGAGGTGCAGGCCCAAACACTTTCTGGGTGCAAAGAAGCGGATTTCCTCTTTTGTTACATTTAAATCAAACCACTCCCACAACAGGTTTTTGTTTCCTCCCTTTTACTTTCTGGTGAGTTTCATAACGTTTACTTTTGTAGTTTGATAAGATCTCCACAGTATAATCAGAACCAACACTATTCTAGAAAGCTTCAAAATCAACTGTTAAGATGATCTGGTGGGTATCATGGACAAAATGCAAACTTAAAAAGCAGATTACTTTCTGGGAAGGTAATGATTGAGAAGGATCTTAAGGGTAGGGTTTAATGGGCTGAAAGGTTTGAATGCTCTGCCAGTTAGGATATGATCCACTGCAAGGGAGAGAAACCCAGCCCCAAACCAGCAGAACAGAGTTAACTAGGTGAGGTAACTGGGAAGTCCAGGGGCTGCGGTGGCTTTAGCTGGCTTCAGAGATTCAAACAGAATCATCGGGAAAATGTTCTAATTTCTCTGTTTGCTTCTAGACTCTGCTTTCCTCTGTCTTGACCTTTACTCTTGCGCAGCTCAAAACTTACTTTACCCTTGGCACTAGCTACCCCAGAAAAGAAGGGCCTCTTATCCAGGGGGGATCCTGTGGGTTAGCCTGGGTCAGGAAACCCAAGTCTTTCCTGAACTTGGTGGGCCACTGGGAGTAGCATGATGAAAAGTCTGGAACCCCGGGTTAGGAGTGCGCTTTGCCACCGCCGCCTGCACAGATAACTGTAGCGAGATATTGAAGGTGGGGAGACAGAGGAGTGAGGCCCAACCTCAGGCGATGGCAGTGAAGATGGAAAGTGGGGGAAGACTGAGAGAACCCATCGGCAGGTAGATCAGTGTATGATACACTGATTTCATGTGAGGCAGAAGAAATTAGAAATGTTAAAAGAATGGTGATGCCATTAGTGAAACAGGAATATGAGGCAGAAGAGTCTACTTTTGCAGAAATTTTGCTAAGACATACTCTTGGTTGGTCAAGCAAAGGAAGACATCTGGCAGGCAGCTGAAGGGGAGAAGTCAGACTTAAGAGAGGGGTCAGAGCCAGAGGTCTAGAGAGGCGGCCTCTACAATAAGCTTGCAGTTGGAATCATGAAAATTGCAAGATCTATGTGTGTAGAGGTGAGCGGTCAAAAGACAGAGCCCCAGGGAACTGTGAGTTAAGCGACAGAGAAGGAAAAAGAACGAAGGCGGTGACTGAGGAGCAACCAGACACTGTGCGGAGAAAGACCTACTTAAGTCAAATAGGAGGAAAGTTCCAGTATCAAAAAGAAAAAGAAATAGGCCAGGCGTCGTGGCTCACGCCTGTAATCCCAGCAGTTTAGGAGGCCGAGGCGGGTGGATCACGAGGTCAGGAGATGGAGACCATCCTGGCTAACACGGTGAAACCCCGTCTCTACTAAATATACAAAAAATTAGCTGGGTGTGGTGGCGGGCGCCTGTAGTCCCAGCTACTCAGGAGGCTGAGGCAGGAGAATGGTGTGAACCTGGGAGGCAGAGCTTGCAGTGAGCCGAGATCGTGCCACTGCACTCCAGCCTGGGCGACAGAGCAAGACTCCATCTCAAAAAAAAAAAAAGAAAGAAAGAAAGAAATAGATCCCCATGTTCAACAATATTTCCAATATTGGTTCTATACTCATATTTTCCTCATTCCTTTTCACAAGTGAACTCACAAACTAAGTCCAGTGAGCAGCTATTGAGGCTACAAGATTTATTGCTTTCTGAATATCAGTGGCTTCATCCTAAGTTGTATTAATTTGAGACCCGAGTTCCTCATCATTAGTAACAACATATTGATTTCGGGGTCTTCTCTCATTTTTTTAGAACAAGGACCAGGTATTAAAACAGCTGCCCAAGTACCGCAGTGCAAAGACAGCACTGCTGCAGATAGCTAAGCTGCTAAGCAGGCAGCATCATTATGTTGACTTGGGGGCAGATGTATAAAACCTAATGCTGGCAGATAAAAGGCAGGTTGGAAGTCTCAGTGTATGAAGTACAAAAATGGGAGCTATATGACCATCAACCTTTTTGAGAACTGACTGTCCCTGGAGTCAAGGCAGAAGACATTTTGAGATTTCACCTTTAAGTGTTCTGTTTTTTTCCAATTATTTCTTGAATTTTGGTACTTCCCAGGGCCTTAATCTGGGCTTTTCTCCAATCTATACATTTAGGGTGATCTATAAGACCTCATCTTGGCTGGGCGCAGCAGCTCACGTTTATAATCCCAGCACATTGAGAGGCTGAGGCAGGTGGATCACCTGAGGTCAGGAGTTTTAGACCAGCCTGGCCAACATGGCAAAACCCCGTCTCTACTAAAAATACAAAAATTAGCCGGGTGCGGTGGCACACACCTGTAATCCCAGCTACTCAGGAGGGTGAGGCAGGAGAATCGCTTCAATCTGGGAGACAGAGGTTGCAGTGAGCCAAGATCGCACCACTGCACTCCAGCCTGGGCTATGGAATGAGACTCTGTCTCATCAAAAAATAAAAACAATAATAATAAAAAAGACCTCATCTTTCTCAATCCACCCTCTCTTCTGCCCCCAAACCTATATACAGTCATCCCTCAGTATCCATGGGGAATTGATTCCAGGACCCCCCACAGATATCAAGATCCACAGATGTTCAAAATCCTTTATATAAAATAGTGTAGTATTTGCATATAATCTGCACACATCCTCCCATATACCTTATTACTTTTTTATTGGACTGA